GTCGAAACGTCAGGCGAATAAACATATTGTGCCAGCGATCGAGTCTTCTTCTCGGTGAATCCCTTATTAGCAGGGTTCAAAAACTTCGAGAGCACGTTTGACGTTTACGTTCCCGATGTTCTCGCCGACTGCAAATGGGGCTAATAATCATCACCTGTATTCTCCATCTCATTCTTTATAGTTTTGCGGCTACCTTTCGATTTATTAAACAGCACAGCATATCCTCCGCATCTTGCCTTCTGCTGCTAGTGCTCCCGAGCTCCTTCTACCAGTGAATTGGGACTTGATCTGTTCTGTTGAGACACGATTTTGACTAAAATGTAGAAAAGAGGGTTTAAAATGTCAGCTTTATAAGGCAGAATGTTGGAGTGGGATGGTTGGATTCCCTTTGAAAAAGGTAGGTTATGCAGGCCCCCTTAGCCACCAATAAGCTCACGGTCGTGTAAAACGGGGATAATCGTAATTGAAGTTTAAAGTATGCGGCCTCCCTGTGGACAACCAGCGAAATCTATACACGACAATATTAAATAAGCAAAGGCCCGCCAACTTTGTTCATCTAGGCCTATAAATAGCAAAGAAATTGAGCGTGATATTAGGAAAAAAGGGAAAAACAACTCTCTTTAAAAAATGAATTTGCATAACTAAACTCACGATAAAACAACTTCATACCTGTCGTTGTATGAATTTTTCTAGGTAATGCACAGCCCGCTCCATCCCATAGCAGTGAAATAATAATGAATCAAACCAAGTCAGACTATGTAGTTTAGACCCAGAGGCTTGCATAACCTATCCTTGCTTTCTTTATCGTTGGCGTTGTCGATTATTATATAGGCGCAGCATCCTTTGTCAGTGCAGAGTTTTGCTCACTAGTCAAATACAGAAAAGGATGAGGAGAAAGGGGCCGTGGTGACTGACTGCAAACTTATGACTATAAAGTCCCCCCTCTTTTCTCGTTTGAGCGATGTCCTCTAACTTGTGATCACTACAAAAAATGCGGTTATCTGAAAAAAGAGTAGTTGGTGCTAAAAATAATTACGTTGTTTTCATGAGACAGACCTTGTCGTATCATAATTAATTTTATATAGGAAAAACCCGCAATTTTTGAAGATTGACACTATTTTCTTCACATGCAGTTGCAATATCAAAATATTTGGTCTGATGATCTGCTTGCATGGGGAAGTTTTTCGTCTCATTGATCTCTTCGAAATCTGCGAAGTGGAATTTGGTCTAGTAGTTATCGGGCGCACAATTTCGGCGACTATCAATAGACTGAGGCAGTATTTCCCGGCTGCCTATGTTACGATTGAAGTGGTTTTCCACGAAAAATAAGAACCTCTGAAAATTGCGCTACAGACAGATTTGCACATGTTGGCTGGCCCTATTATCTGGAGTTGCAATGGAGAATAAACGGGTACGGGATTTTCAACCTTTCCGTCTCTCACTTTCTTTTGCCTATTTCGGATTTTCTCTAACGTCCGTAAAGCAATTCTCATTCATTCGCACTCGTTCTTGTCTTTGTGTCAGACATGCGATTGCAGAATTTGACATGCTTATATTCTGCCTCATTTGGTAACGACCATTTTTAACTGTTCCTTTCTTATTTGCTTCAATACACAAACATTTCCAGCTATTTTTATATCCTTCGGTGGTATGCCTTTTTGCGTGAGCGAATGGCGTGAACATCAGACCGTGCTGACAGATGTTTGTTAGAGCTGATCAGCGCACACCGACTTATCGCTAGGCCCCCACAATCCTGAGTATCCGCCACTGCAAAAGCCACATGTCGTAGCTCACATAATTCTTCAGGCTGTTTCGTCGGAATCTCACTAGCGTGGAAATTTGACCGCGTACACAGCTACAACGTCGATGAGGCTATATCGGTAACTTGCATGAAAAACTGACCGTCAACGAAAGGAAAGTTCCCTTAATATACACAAAATGATGTGTAACAAACTCACCCCTCATGTTTCACTTCGTCTGATGAGGGGTTGGTGCTACCACCTTAAAAATGTACAGGAGTAAATTTCTCTTTTACGACGAACCTTCTCTGTTCACCAAATGATGT